TGTGTAATTCTGCCACCACCTCTTCACCATATCAGTGAACCCCATTTGTTGAAGCCTTATATTTTCAAACTTGATGTAAGATGGTGTTGAGTACCAGTCTTCACCTTGTAGCAGAAGAATTTTGTGGTCTGAATATTGAAATGCCGCCTGGCAGTGTCAACTGCTTGATAGCTTTGAAGCTTTCATTCCAGTATGAAAGTTAAGGAACCTATCAATTCTTGAGGCTTGTAGAGTGTCATCCCCTCTTGACAAAGTGTATTGTGCCCCTCGCAAGGCAAATCCATTCGCTGAAGGTCCAAAAGCGTTTCTGAGAAGCTCCTCATAGCTTGGTCCTTCTGGTGCACTTTAGCCTCTCATTCTCATGATATACGAAGTTGACAGTGCGCACAATTTAAAAAGGAATTTGGTTTGGATGATTCCTTTTATTGAGGAGATTCTCAAAGTTGATATTTTTCTTTTTCAGGAACGGCGTGAACAAGTTAAAGCTGAAGCCATTGGCATGTACTTAGAGCCTTTGCCTTTTAGCTTTTCAGAACCTTCTTTCACAGAACAACCTACTTTCACTAGCAATGACTTCGAAGGTACGTAAAATATTGCTATTTTATATAACAAATTTTATGCTCTCATCTTATGTGCTTTGGCATTTTAACCATCCTGGAGTATAATCCCCACCCCCACCCCCACCCCCACTTCAGAAATGAACCAGTGGAATCTAGAGGGGATAAATAAACCCAACGATACAAAAACATGAGGCAATTAACTTTTAAAGATTGGTAGGTAGTTGATATTCCATCAAAGCATCTTGATGGTGCTATCAACTTTCCTGCAACTCCAGCTTATCAAAACATCTCTGATATTCTGAGGCTTGACCCATTTGAGATCAAAAAGAGCTTAAAACATACTCCATAAGTCAGCTGCTATTTGGCATTGTAGAAATAGGTGATTGTGTGTTTCTGCTTCCTTCATGCTTCCGTCATTACTTGGATTGTTATAAGACAACTGTATTCCTTTAAGTACATTACTTTCATTAAGAGAGTTTAAAGTGCTTATCTTGTGTATGCTATTGATTTGTGTGATTATCTCATCTAAATGCGTAAACTGTTAGAGAGAGGAAACATTTCTATTCTTTTAACTGGTGAATTTTTTCTCACATCACACGGATTAGAATTATCATATAATCTCTCTCTTCTGGAATGAATATATTGAAATATTTTCGGTCCTGCGGAAAAATAGCTCGACGCCAGGATGATAAAAAGCTTAACACCTCTCATTCTTATTACTTTTTCAATATGAAAACGGAATGAACATCTGTTCTAGTATATTTCTTTACTCTGCTTATATCACAAATATTTCTGAAGAGATCCTCATATCAAAAGCTTCATTAAATAGGGAATGAAGTCCTTCTAAGTCTCTCCTGCCTTTACCTTTTTAGATCGACATCAGTCATTCTTCCATTTACTTCCCTTCAACTCTTCTCTCCCATCAAAAAGCTTTTTATTGTTCATTATCTATATTTATATTTTGACGGCCTCTGAATAAGGATAAGATATCACTAAGAGACGTGAACTTGATCAGTTATGAAAGAAACTACTATTATGTTGATAGTCATTGGTATTGCGCTAATTAACTATTATTGTGTTTCATGGGTGTAAAGCAAATCATTTTCTAAGTTATCACATTACAAACATTAAACGATATCAAATTACTAAGCAATGTCAATATGCCTACTAAAAAAAGTACAAGAGTGAAAAATATCAAATACTAAGAACAGAAAACACTTGCTAAGCAAATAAATCTGAACATCTTTAAATCATCATATTGAAAAAGTTAATTAACTAAATATCAATATCGTCATATAAACCTTTAACACCCGACATATACACAGAGAACCGAAGCTATAATCTCACCTTGATAATTTCAATCCTTAATTCTTATAGTCTCTATCTCCTCTGTTAAAGTTTTCTTCCATGTCAATTATGGTCTTAAAATCCTCTTTGAAGAATTCTGAAATTAAAAAAAAAAGTATTTTAAAATTGAAAAATAATCACAAACCTGGCCTAGACTCTTTTCTTCATTTTTGCTGCTTGAAATTTACTATTGTTACATCTTTTTTCAACTTCTCATTTGTTGCTTCCTTCTCCCATTCCTCCACCTCTTATATGTAAGCATCACTATTTTAAGTCCAATCATTGCTCCAAAGGCTGGATCATGTCTTCTAGTTACTCATTGACTATTCATTTCTAAAGCTTAATTGCGTAGTAATTACATTAACAGAGAATTAAGAGAATCAATTTTTATTTATGCCCAACATACTATAATTGTCAAAATATGCTAAGTTAGGCTTCTTTAGGGAAGCGAAAGGGCTGCATTAATGTTTCTTTGATAAAAAAATTTGTGGCCTCTAAGATAATGTGAGTTGACTGAAAAGGAACATGGAGTATGAAAGGTTGGGTAGTGATAATTCAATTTTTTCAGAGTTGGAGACTTTTTTTAAAAAATATAGGACAGAAATGGAAAAATAGGAAAAAGGCCAAAAAAGATAACTGTATTTCTTGGCCAAAGAGGGGTTCCGCATCACTCTTCTTTTGCCTACCTTTGTCATAATATATATATATATATATATATAGTCTCTTCAATACGTCCCCTCATGTGTGAGCCTGATTCAATTCATGGTAATCATGTGGAATTCACTTTGATAAATGGGTTGCAATGAGATTTGGAATCAGGATCTCTGCCTGTTCTGCTACCATTGTCATGCACTGATATCTGAGTGTGCGAACTCTTCACTTTTGGTGCTGCACTCTTGTCGACACGACGTGGGTGTGGGATCCATGCCGGATGTGGTCTATCAGTTTTGAGTACTTTGACCGAAACCGATATAGAAATTTGAGACAGATATAATGATGCTGAAATCAAAACAAAAGGTAGGGTGAAATCATAATTTGGGCAGATGTTTCTTTTGTCATTGGAAGGTATTTGTATGAAAAAGTCAGCAATCAGAATGTGCTTTAAAGATGTCTACAGGTCAAACACTAGTATGTGCAATGTACTCAAGAAGTTTAGCACGACCTGTTGTATCATTTGCAATAGCCATGTTACACCAATAAAACTGTAAGAAGATGCATTTGTTTTTAATAATAATTAAAGAACAAAGTTTGCTCTAAAGAAATTGTGCATTCCTTCATTCCGACTTGTCCATAATTTAGGCAGATTTTCATAAATCTACTTTTAGATATTTAAATTAGTTTTAGTTGAATCTCTGCACCCATATTCATACTTGGATCTATATGAAGGATCCCGACCTCTAGATCTGCCCCGTATCGTACACCTGCACCCCAGTCCGAGCAACAGTGGCGTAGCCACATGGTGGTCAGGGTGTCCAAGAAAAAAATATTGTATATACAAGTAAAATGATATACGAAATGATTAAATAACATATCTTGGACACCCTTAACATAACAAGTTGTAGCTCAGTGGTTTCGCCCTCTTGGAATGAGGACGTGCTCGTGTGTTCAAATCTCACTAGTTCTATTTTTTGAAAAGAGCTTTTGTTGTGCTATTTCTGGACACCCTTTGTGAAGTTCCTGGCTCCGCCACTGCCGAGCAGCTTAGTTTGGTACCATGTTAAGTTAAGTCTATGACCATCACATTTAAAAGTTCAAGCGGTTTGAGGGAGCACATTGTTATCTGCTTAATTATGTTTCAACATATACAATCACATTTCATGGTACAATCCTGTCACTCAAAACTGTTGTAGAAAATGGTTACTTTAGTAAGCTAAATTGAAGCTTGATAGTGGTGATCTTTCAGAAGTTTGACTTTTACTATTAGTACTTCTTCATGAATGCAAAAGCCTTGCTATTTGATCTGTATTTTTGAAGTTTTTACGATATTACGTAGGTACTAACCATCTTCCCATTAGTTGAAATGACTGTTGTTGTGTTTGTATTTGTGATAAGCTTTGGGAAGTACGAGTGTTACTGTAACATCATCAAGCTCCCCTGTGCCTGGAGGCAGGCAACTGTTCTCCAATGTTGCAAGGCTTGGTTTTGCTGCTGGATGTGATCCTCCAGCGCTGAAAATGGATGAGTCTGCACGTGGTTCTTCTGTTGCAGCTGGTATCTTTTTAAACTCCTACTTGGCTATTGACATTGAGTACCTGCTATGATCCGAATAATTGTTTGTCATGTTTTCGTCACAGTTTTCGTGGAATGTGTTATTGTTTCGTTTTGCTTTATCATAACCACTGGACTTTATTTCTCTCAGGAACGAGGAGTCCTGGAATCCTGTCCTTTGCAAATGTAACCTCCAAAGCAAAAGCTGTTGAAGGTCCCAATGCTTCTAAGTCAAATGATGCAGGGAAGAGGGGAAAGAAGCCAAATCGGATCCTAATGTCAACTTCTGGTGGTAGACGTTACTGAATTTTGAAGGGACGTGATAAGGAATAATCTGTCTGTATATTTAAGAGATGTTTTGCCTTTTATTAGCAACTGAGATTTGTTTGTTGTTACTCACCTAGTAGGTTTGAGCAATGGTTATTTTTGTGAAATTGTTTTGGGAAAAACTGTTTTCGTGTCCTACATCATCTTCGTTTTTTAGTTTTTACGTGCATATATGGTATAAACTAAAACGACGTCCAAATACACTTTTTTTTTTTAAAAAAAAATATTTCAACTTCAAATATTCCTTTTCTCCGGTTTCAACCAAATAAATGGAAAAAGATTTGACATAAAAACAAGGTATAATTTTAGAGCTGTGGTTTATGGTGACAAATTTTAATTTTGTATAATAAATATAAATTGTAGGTATATAATTCATTTACAGTAATATGAAACAATTTATTTATCTCTTTAATATTTGTTTTATCTTAAAAAACAAGACGCTAGGTTATTTCTGAAATTGTTATATGTCTATAATAATATAATGTTTAAAAATGAAATGTGTGTGGGACACGTGCTAAACTAAGTATATAATCTGATTGTTATTTACATAGGGAAAACAAGTTTGAGGAGGAGATCTTGATCCCAAATGACACGACCAAGGTTCAGCAGGAAACCAGCTCTTGTTCGTCTTCTCTCTGTTGCTGCTCTCTTCTCCATTATACTAATCGCCATTCAGTCCTCTTTCTTCACTGGTTGGTACTACATATCTTCTTTTCCTTAACCCTAATTGTTTGAAAATCCTCTTCGCTAATTTACTATTTTGAATGAATTTGATGCATCCAGGTAGTCGGGCTCCCGTTAATTTGGATATTCCGATCTTGTCCCACTTCCAGTCTAACCTTCAGCAATGCGTCGTAATTATTTTCTGGATCTCCTATATTTTGTTGAAAACTGCACATGTTAGTTGTTTATTCGAATTTCTGCTTTACAGGCTAATCGAGGGCTGGGATTGACTGCTCATATAATTGATCATTGCAATGTCATTCTCAAGTTTCCCCAAGGAACTAATAGCACTTGGGTTTGTCTCTCATCCGTCTCCTACCTGTTGGTTACCTTCTACAAAACACTGAAATGCATTTCCCCATTCATTTTATCTTACAGTATAATGAGCAGTTCAAGATCTTTGAACCATTGGAGTACAAGTACGACGTTTGCGAAACAATACTTCTGTGGGAGCAGGTTCCTCATACTTGTTATTCATGTTAATTAATCATGTTTCCACAACTAGTACATTAAAATATATTGGATTATCTGAAATGCAGTACCGTAACATGACGACAGTGTTGACAAGAGAATATTTGGATTCTCGGCCTGATGGATGGTTTGACTATGCAGCAAAAAGGATCGCACAGCTGTAAGTTATTGGCTTCATCCTCCATTCACCTTCTTAATCAATTAATGATAGATTTTATGTGATTTGATCTTCATATTTTGTTTCATTGTTTCCTTACTTTTCCTGTTTGCAGAGGAGCAGACAAATGTTACAATCAGACTCTTTGCGAAGAACATCTCAATCTAACTTTACCAGCTAAGCCCCCGTTTCACCCTCGACAATTCAGAAGATGTGCAGTCGTTGGCAATTCTGGAGACCTCTTGAAGACGCAATTTGGAGAGGAAATTGACAGTCATGATGCAGTTATACGAGACAATGAGGCTCCTGTTAATGAGGTAAATTAGCTCTTAGTCCGTTGAAAATAAAAATGATTTATGACACAAAGCATTTGCAAGGATAGTATCTCATGTCAGGATCCATGTTGAACACAAAGGTCATTGGATATGTGGAGAAGCATCATAGACACATGTTTGATTTAGTTTTTTCATCTTCAGCTGTCTGATCAATTTTTTAATATCATTCTTTGATTTCTTAATTTATTTGGTCTTAATTTTTTTCAAAAGTTGTCCAATTCATTCAATGTTAAGTAGTTGTCTCAAGAAAAACATACACTGTTAAATGAATTGGAACTGAATAGAGCAATGTCACTTGTGTTCTTCACGCCTCTTTGAAGGCATATTTTTCTTGAGAAAGCAATATAAGAGAGTTAAGAACTAAATATGTTGATACACGCTATGGATGATTGACACTAATGTGTATTTAAGATACCTATCAAAAACTTCTGGGTAGTATCTAGGCAGGTCCTTGTCTTCCACTATCACTTTTTTTATGAAGTTATATGTTTCATTAGAATGCATCAAGGAGATGCGAAGTTACAAGTAACAGAGGGACAAAAAGGAGTATTTAGCTCAGTTCAGCTCCTATAAGAAGTGTTAATCTAGAACTAGGGTGCTAACAAAGTCTAGAAAATGTCCAGCACTAAGGGCTGGGGTCAACTTTGACCAACAAAAATGCTTAAAGTATGCTTTTAGCTTTAAGAGAGTGATTTGGAGTTGAGATGCTATCAAAACATCTCTTGTTCCTTCTGTCCACAAACACCAAAAGATAGTATCAGGAATCATCAACCAGATTTTCTTGATGGACTTATCAACTTCCTATAAACTCCAACACAAAAGTGCCTGTCTCATGTTTTTGGCATAACCCAACTCAGGCCAGAAAGGGTGCAAAACATGTTCCAAACACCAGTAGCTATTCTACAGTGCAAAAACAAGTGATTAATAGATTCCAGATCCTTGTTACATCGGTAACATCTGTTAACCAGCAGAAGTGCTTTCCGTTTAAGGTTGTCCAGTGTTAGACAAGCTTCATATAAGGCAATCTAGTTGAAGCATATGACCTTGATAGTAGCTTGGTCCTTCAAATCAATTTCCATGGCCAAGAATCCAGCACCTGATTTTGCTTTCAGATCTGCCTGTAACAGTCCTCGACTGTGAATATACCCTTACTGCCCCAACACATGGTATCTTGAAGGTCTTCATTTATGTTGCAACTCCACTTTTGCAGACAAATCGATAAAACTATCCATTTCCTAGTCTTGGATATACCTTCTTCAATGCATATCCAGTTGTTGTTACTCCCATTCTGAGCAATTGTGGAGTGGAGTCGTTGTCTTGAGCAATGTTGAAGGTGCTAGGATAGACATCCATGAGTGCTGTGTTGTTAAGCCATTTATGCTTCCAAAACTGATGTGCACTTCATTAGCAGCTACTATCACTAAGATAATATATAAGTCAAATCAACATCCTAAACTTGTGCCCCAATACTCTTGCATATAAAGTGAAACAAAGAACTTAGTAAAGCCACCGGAGTCCTCATTCTATTTTATCTTGCATATTCTTAAAATTCTTATGTCATTATCCACGCTGCTACAAGTATTTCTTTCCATGCAATACTGGTAGAGCATGTGTGGCATTTTTATTATTTGATCAACTCTACTAGAGAATAACTAGTCTGGCTTGTAATTGAGATCTGAGAGTGATGATGACAACTAGAATTTATGTAGTCATTAATATGCATTAATCATAATCTGTTAATAGTTGTATTAACCCAGTAAAAAAAAATCTTCTAGATTTTACATCTAGCTTTATTGTTTGATCAACTCTATTAGAGACTAACTAGGTCTGGCTTGTAATTGAGATCTGAGAGTGATGAAGACTACCAGCATTTATGTATTCATTAATATGCATAATCTGTTAAAAGTTGTATTATCTCAGTAAAAATACCCTTCTAGAGTTCACGTCTATGGTGTCACCAGAATTTGTTGTGTAAATAACTGCTTATGAATATGCTATGCAGAGATACGCCAAGCATGTTGGCCTGAAGAGAGATTTTCGCTTAGTTGTGCGAGGTGCTGCCGGAAACATGATTAAAATTCTCAACGGTTCTGGTAAATTATTGGAACACCTATTTATTTCCTGAACGTTTGATCATATACATCTTGTCTTCTGTGTTTGTTTTTGTTCAGATTTATTTCATGCTTCTTCCCATTTTTCTATATTGACTCAAGACAAAATGATGTCTTCAATTTTTGACGTTCGGTGCCATGTTATGAGCATGAACCAAACAGAACTTCTTTTATGATCTCATTGTTGCCTAATAAACACTACCATTCAGCAATGGTTTTAGGTGTTTTCGGATTATATGAGAATAAAGAAACTCACGTACTTTCCTATTCAAAAAAAAGAAACTCTAGGTGTTCTGAGGCAAAGTATTCACTGTTAGAATAAAAATAGGTTTATACAATCCTTTTAGAATAAGAATAGAAATAAGAACAAGTATAAGAATAGTAATAGGAATCGCAATAGTATTGTAGTACAATTTCAAAAGGATTGTATTGTAGTATCTATAAATAGGGTTTCTGTAGATACAACAGTTCAACAATATTTCTCTCCTATATTTCTCGCATAGAATCAGAGCCTCTACGGTTTTGGTGAACTTCTAACTACCGGAGGGTGGGTAATTATTACCCATATATCTCGCCTATTTGGCTACTGATTATGTTAGCAAAAGTTGGGTCCATCATGTGTCTTTTTTGTGGATAATTTTCTAATATCTTATTTGTGTAGCATCGTGTTATCATCAGAATGAGTATTTTTTTAGATCCGAGTTGTGTAGTATTATGCCATCTTTTTGGTGATTACTTTCTCATATCTGATTAGCGTAGCATCATTTTTTTCCACGGACTACTTTCTTATTTGTGTAGGGTCATGCCATCGCTCCAACCTTACCCACATAATTTCTCTTTTTCAATAGGGTTGTGCCATCAATTTGACTCTATCCATATAATTTCTATTTTTCAATAGTCGAGCCATCATTCCTACCCAGCAAATAATTTATTTCTCAAATTGTGACCACTTTCAGCCATTAAACCTAATACTTCGGTGCATGAGCATGTTCTGGTCAATTTTTCAGTGACTTTTTTGTCTGATATGGACTCATCAATTGATTCCAAGACGATCCATATAATTTTATACCAGATTTTGAGCACTTCCTGACAACCGTTGCATTGTGAAGAAGTCAAGATAGAGCAATACTGCAATTTTATCACTTTCTGTTTTATTGACATTATGCATCAAATGAAATACCAAATTCAGTATTTCATGAGAAGACCAAGCACATTGAGATTGATTGACATTATGTGTCAAATCTAGTATTTTAAATGAGAAGACAAAACACATTAAGATTGATTGTCAATTTTGTGAAGTTGAGTGATCAACTTGCATGTATCTCATGAAGCCCCTCATCGGTCCTTCTATTAGTTACATTTGTAACTGTTAAGAATGACATAAGTCTCACATCGGTGGTTAATGAGATGGGTGAACTCCTTATAACTTATAAGTCTTGGCAATCCTCATCCCTTTGAGTTAGCTTTTGGGGTGTGGGTTAGGCTTAAGACCTAATTTCACATGGTATCAGAGCAGGATCTTGTCTCACTCGATGTTGGGACCGCCAAAATCAAAGTTGCCCACTCACCAGATGCTGAGCACTGGGCGTGAGGTGGTGTTAAAGAATAACAAAAGTTCCATATCGGTGGTTAATGAGATGAGTGGACTCATAAGGCTTGGGCAATCCTCCTCTCTTTGAGCTCTTGGGGTGTGAGTTAGGCCGAAGACCTAATTTCATAGTAACAAGCTATGTATGTGACTTATATGCACTAGCTTGAGGGCGAATGTCAGAATAAGAATATGTTTATAAAATTTTATTTAGAATACAAATAGGAATAGGAATAAGAATAGTATGTAGTATCCTAGTTGATAAAGGATTATATTGTAGTATCTATTAATAGGGTGTTGTAATAATGCAGATACAACAATTCAATAATATTTTTATCGTATATTTCTCATAATCACGGTATAGGATAAGAAAATACAGACTGCCTATGTTTGCTGCTCTTTGGTGCAAATTTCAAGATATGTGATTTACACAACAATTTTTTTTCGAAAAAGGACCTAAAATACCCTTAAAGTATTAGATATAGGACAAATCTACATTTCATTCACGTATTAACTTTAAAATACCCTTCTTATCCACCTATTGGCTCCAAAATACCCTTATCATCTACTTTTGAGTTCAAAATTGACAACTTATTTAACAATTTTAAATTTAAACTATTTAAATATTTTTTTTAAATATATGGCGCTCAATTATTTGTTATAATTTAACTTATTAATATTATTTATAAATCAATCCACTACCTACTTATTACTAATTGAATCCACCCAATTAATAAATCCGCTCCATTACTAATGCAACAATAGGATAACTACTGTCAATGTGTGTGTCTAAAAATTTGAGACAAAAATGTCCATAGAAGTACGTTATTATACATTCAAGTGGGGTGTTCATGGGTCGGTTTGGATAGATTATTGGTTAAAACAAAAACCAAACCAACTTGATCGATTTTTAAAAAAAATCAAAACCAAGTCAAATATAATATACATGTATCGGTTTGGTGGTAACTGATTTCGGTTTGGTTCGGTTCGGTTATTAACCATACGCAAAAATAAAAGAAACAATTCATTCAAAATGTGAAAAAAGTGACAACAATCTATTCAAAACAAAAAAATAGTTAGAATGACTTGAAGTTACTCGACTTTCGATCACTGAATTTACTATCAATAAAGCTTTAAAATTTACTATATTGGCCTAGAAGGAAGAGACTAACATTTTTAGTCCGGTAAAGAATTGTCATGGATACTCATACACATTAAATCAATTAGATAAATATTTTCATCTTTGGGCATTTTTGCTTTCAGTATGTAAATTATGAAGAAATTATGATGAAAAGATATATAAGATATTTAAAATTGTTTATAAAAAGAATATGTTAAGTGTGTATATAATTAATCAGTTTGGCTCGATTATTTCTTCGAATTTTTCAAATAAAACCATAACCAAATCAAATGCTGTCGGTTTTTCGAAAATCTAAAATCAAACAAAACCAAATCCAAAAAGAATCAATTTTATTTTGTTGATTTGGTTTAGTTTTTCAATTTGAATTGATTTTTATCCAAACCGTGAACACCCCTACATTCAAGTCCTCAATCAAAAGTTCAAACATATTATAATTCAACTGTCTAAATAAAAAATTACCGATAAACTTAAAAGTCTGACTATGTCAATCTTAATTATTCCTTTTGTCTCAATTATGTGATGGTACTTAATAGCTAACTTTTTTAAAAATAATATATTAAAGTTCTAATATTTAAAACAAATCATAAATATTTAAAAAGTATATTTAAAGAAGTGCAAGAATTAATTGCGGATGTACTAATTCTTTATCTTTGGTCATAAATTTCGAATTCAAGCTTGAAAGAGAATCCTATTGAAAGTTTCCTCCTAAATAAGCGGATCAACCTAAATTTAATTGGGGCTTCAATTCAGACTCGAATAATTTTGAAAGTTTATTTTTGTATCTGTAATTTTGTCGTGTTTTAGTAGTGTTTAGGGCAATTTTGATATTAAAATTGGTTTATTAATTGGGTGGGTAGTGAGTTGGTTTATAAATGATGCTAATAAATTAAATTATAATCAATAGTTGAGCGCCATGTATTTTAAAAAATTATTTAAACAGTTTAAATTTAAAATCGCTAAATATGTGGTCAAATTTTGAATCCAAAGATGGATGCCAAGGGTAATTTGGAGCCAATAAGTGGATGAGAAGGGCATTTTGGAGCCAATAGGTGAATGAAGGACAATTTTGTACCAATTCTAACACTTTAAGGGTATATTAGGCCCTTTTCCATTTATTTTTTTTTAAAAAGAACATGTATTCTATGTTTCACACATTTTAAACTTCATTAGCTTTGTTTGCGACTGAGGCGTAATAATTGTTTTTACTTATTTATATTTTGTTGAACTTCATCTCTCAACAGGGATAGCTCCGTATAAAAAAAATTCCTTCTTTTGCTTTTTTCTTTTCGTTCCCCTTTTTGGTGTAATGGACTGCCTACTTTTGTATATTCTAATCACCTGTTTGTATCTTATCTTTCAATAACACATTTTGCTTACCGATCAAGCAAAAAAAATACACTACCATTCAGTGGCAATGATTGGTTTTTTATTTTGATGTCGTATATTGATAATGTCCGTTTTTGAGTATTTTCGTCTAAATGTGGTTTTGAAAACCTCTAGAATTCTTATTCGTTTTGTTATTTAATATGTAATGTAGGGTAGTTCATGCTTGTTGATATGATTATATGAGTATGTCATATTAGGATGTGAAGTGTGCTTATTGTGATGAGCGCACTCTGATGCATTTCTATAAAAAGCCTTTAGCACCAGTAGTTGGGTCTTTATACTGCATATTAGCAGTGTTGTGTACATGAGTTGTGTTATTGAAAGTCGAGCTAGAAATAGTTTCTCGTGATGAGGTTGTTCATTTATGTGTGACCAATCATCATTGCTATATACAAATTACTGGTTTTTCGAACATGATTACTTATATCTTAGGGATTCAAGTTTTTATAGCCCTTTAGCTTTTCGAAAGTGTCAACCTAGTCCTTTAAATGTTGTTAGATTCAACAAACATTCTATCTTTGGTTTTGCCCTTCTGTTACGAAATGCCAATAGACCCTCAATTTAGGGGGGCAAAACAATGTCTCTAGTCTCTATACCCAAAATAATATTGTTTGCTCTTTTTCCCAACAAATGGATAAATAAACAAGAAAGACTTAATTTCTTGTTGATGATTTAACTAAGTTGTTGGTGGTTTCTTGTTTCTTCTTGTTTTCTGTTCTTACTTCTTCTGTCGGTTACCTCAGAGATTTTTTAATCTATACTTGGGTGTTTTTTGGAACTTAGGGAAAGAGTGTCGGCTACGCCCACTCTCTTAGCCTGAATGGTTCAGCTAAACCAAAAGTTGCTTATGGGAGGAGGGGGAGAGGAACCACAATAATTGTCAAGCCTTATATGTTTTTCTTGGTGTGGTTTCAACTTATTACTATTTTTTGGTTTTGGTTGAACTTCTCAGATGGTCCCAAAAGCTTTTGACACTAGTATTTATATCATCCAAACAATTCTTGCAGTCTTGACTCTAGCAGGCATAAGTGTTGAAGGAAGGAGCAAGATAGTTAACTGTTACATATAGATGATAGCTCCTTATAGGGGTGTCAAATGGGCGGGTTGGGTTAAAATTAAAATATTAAAATGGGTTGAAATAGAAATCGGGTTGCGTCTTGACCCACCCAAGTTTACTTTGTGCTCAAATAGGTTGGGTTCACATGGGCTAAAAAATGGGTTGGGTCTTGACCCACCCAATTTGACCCGATTAATTTCAATAATTTTACATAGTAACATTTAACTTTTACAATCACAATGCGAATTTTAGCTCAAGATTTTTTTTAAAAAAAGTAACAAATGGATAGATAAAGAAAACATTTTTCAAAACTCTATTTCATTATTAAATTTTTTTTCTTACCTTGTACCCGACCCTTCCCATTCGAAAAATAAAATTAAAATTTTTACATTCTTATTTTTTCAATCCTTTATCCTACCCCTACCCCCCCAAACCCAAATGAAAAAATAAAAAGTTTAAAAATTATTTTTGAAAAATGTTTCAATTTTTAAGATTTTTTTTTACCTCACCCAACCCTATCCCCTACCCCTTCGAAAATAATTGCTTTTAAAAATATTTCAATTTTTTCGCCCCACCCCCACCCCCACCCCCCATCAATTTTATTTAAAAATATTTTTAGGAAATATATCCCTAAGTTTGACCCAACCACCCAGGCTATCCTTGTCAATTTTTTTTAAAAAAAATTGTTTTTGAATTTTTTTTTTCATTTTTATGCCGACTCGTTACCCTCCTCTCTCCCCCCCCCCCCCCCCCACCTAGGCCATTCCCGTCAAAAAATATTTTTACGGCTACCTCTACCCCTCCCCCCTTCCCCCAACCTAATAAAAAAAATTGAAAAATATTTCAAATTTTAAATAATTTCATTTTTTACGCCCCCACCGGCGACCGCAAAGTTCCCGGGTCGGATTTTGGAACGATCATCAGGGTCTTGTCCTAGTTTGGGTGTCGGGGTCGGATTCTAGATCAATTATCAGGGTTGATTTTCTGATAAAAAATTAATCCTAAAGAGTATTTTCTAGTCTCAAGCCAAAAATAAAAGATATTTTATGAAAAATATCATTTACCAACCAAACATGAGATAATAAATTAGAAAGTCCACTTGTTTTCCAAGAAAACATTTTCTAGGAAATTCCTTCATACCCATCACACCCAGAGATGTTGAGCAAAAGAGGAGAAAGATGATAGTTCTAATTAAGTTTAAGAAGAAAATTGATTTCAGTGCCCCTCTCTATTTAGCATAGGTGATAGGACCATGTTTGTCAAGTCCGTTAGCATTTCTTAGCAGATAGCTCTTTGATGACTCTGAATAGCTTGATGGGCTATTAGTTTTTGGTTAATAAGTCTTTGCTATTTCTGTTCAAATGCTTCCAGTTCAGTTATTTTTTATTAAATATAGGGTCAGGGTAATTATTATCCCTTTTAGTTGTACTGTACGGGTAATTTTGATATTAGCATTTCATATTAGTCAGTCAGCTACATTACTTGTCCTAATGAAGAGCATCTGAAAATTAGCAGTGAACTTTCTACTGCTCTTGTTATTATTGTCAGCAATGACTTCGCTGTGATTTGGTATTATTGGAAGCAATACTCATGAAGCTTCTAATAATTTGTTGCTATTCCTTCTTTACTTTCAGATGATGAGGTGCTTATAATTAAAAGTGTCATCCATAGAGACTTCAATGCAATGATAAAGGTAATGTATCATTCAGATGAGTGGTAGTATCTTTTTACTTCTATGTTCAGATGAATGCTTTTACTAATTTGTTTCTCCGTTAAATCTTTCTTCTTGAGGTTGCTATTGTTAGTTTAGTTGTTCTCAATTTACATTTTCAATCAAGTGCTACCCGTGAATGTTGGGTTGGACTTTAGTTGATATTGTTTTCCGGGAATTTGTTGAAGATTACAAGCTAAGGATACATTTCTATTATAAAAATGAATGCATATCTACATTTTCAAAATATTAATCCTCCCCCCTCCCCCTCTCCCACAAATTGATATGAGTGGAACCATGCATAACAGCTGGATCTTTCTTTTCCATGAAGCATGGGACTCTTGCTCTCTAAGTTGTTCGGACTCTTCAATTTTGGTGCTGCACCTGCGTCAACAAGACATGGGTGTGGTGTGGGATCCGTGTTCGATTTGGTCAACCAATTTTGGGTACTTTGACCAAAAGTCGATAGGGGAAGTTTGGGCAGTTTTCTAATGGTTTCTGTAATCAATACAAAAACTAAGGTGAAATTGAAGAAAATGGAATACCTTTTATTTATAAATTTGTATGTACCTCCTTTCCCTTTAATCTCCTTCCAGGATTCTCCTCAAGTTCTCCACATAATATCTCATAATTTAAGTTTTATAACTCTATTTTTAGGTATTTTAATTATTTTTAGGCAAATCTCCGCACTCGTATCCATATATGGATATGAATCTTAAAAATTAGATCATGAAAGATCTGACCACTAAATCCACACTTGTATTGGACACACCTGCACCCGAGTCCGAGCAACTTAGCTTTCTCTATCCTTTGTATGTGCTAATTAAAATGAAATGATTTTTTATTTATTTTTACTTATGTTGAGTTTTATGGCAATCACCTTACTTTGCATCTTATAACCATGGCTGTGTATCCTTAATATACAACACGTTGAGGAAACTCTGATGGATTCAAGCTGTAGCATTGTAGGTGGTGAAATAGAGAATTCTTTAGGATTCTGAATATTAGTGTTGGTGAGAATCATCCTAAACCTTAGGGGTATAGCATGGACGTTGCCAGGCAAGATAACAGAGGCTCTTAGCTGCAGGGAGGGAACATATTCACATGCAAACGATAGGAGTAGATGGAGAATTATCCCGGCTTGTATCCAGTGAACAATCTGGAAGGAAAGGAATTCCTGATGTTTTGAAAGTTTAGAGAATGATGTGCAGATGATTTAGTTGAATTTCATCTTACTGCTATGTTTTTGGTGTAATCAGATTTACTAATGATACTGTGTCTATCATAGATGTTCTGGATCCATTATAGCTTAGAGAGGGAAGACACTAGAGCTCTATGGTAAATATGGTTTCCGTAAATAGGGAGGGTCGAGTTTATCCAGACCAACTGTCCCATCACCTTGTCGTAAGGGTGAACATTCAGTATTCCCAAAGTTTGGATTCACTAATTCAGTAATCGGTTATTGAAACTAGATACCAAATACCAACTTCTTAGTTCAGTCTGGTAAATCAAACTTTGGTCATTGAGTTTTGGTACAATAATTCGGTAATACTGACATGAACTTCATGTCAGTTCATCCAAATATCATCTTCCAATCTTAACAATGGATCGAACAAAATTAACAAATAATCAACTCAACAAATGATCACTAAAATATGATGAAGCTCGGTGGAACCAATAATCAAGAGAATTTGTGAAATTTTAACCATCTATAACAGTACCAAACCCAATCAATCGAAAGGCAATATCAGATTAAGTACAAACAATTTCAGATATATGGTATATATTGATATTAATGTTTCATACTGAACCCTAATATCATAATTCTTAAATTTCTCTTGAAAATCTTACCGAATTATCGAAACTCAATTCAGTTGAGTGATTCAGAGATTTATGCACAACCCTTCTTCGGTTAAGAAAAACTAATGCCTCAAATATGCAAATCACACTTAAACACATTATGAACATTTTGGAACACTCAAAACACCAATATGAATTCGTCTCACATTTTTTACCATGGCCAAATCTTAATTCCTGCTTGATTCGGTGTATATTTTAGCATATCTCTGATTAGTTTACAAATCTGCTTTAATGAATCTAGTGAATGATGGTAGACTAGAGTCATATGACCTCGGGCAAGGGAAAAAGGCAGGGGCAGTAATTGGGTTAAGAGAGTTTCTAGGCTGAGAGTAGGGTCTTGGAACATTGGACATTGATGAGGGAGTCAATAGAATTAGTGAAGATTCTCAAGAAGAGGGAGATTAATATAACTTGTGTCTAGATAACCAAATGGGTAGGAACTAAGGCTCGAGATGTGAATGCGTTTAAATTGTTGTACTCAGGAGTCTCGAAGATCAGTAATAGAGTGAACAATCTAGTAGATATAAATCTAAAGGAGCAAGTGGTAGACATTAGGATGATCAGCGATAGGATGATGTCGATTAAACTAGTTGTTACCGGTCTTACTTTGAATATTATTAGTGTTACACACTAAAAGCAGACATGGACGAGGAGGTTAAGAAGAGCTTTTGGGACGATTTAGTTGAGGTTGTGAGAGGTATCCACACACTGAGAAGCTATTCATCGGAGGAGATTTTAGTAGCCACGTCGAGACAACTCCAAAAGGCTATATGATGATGTGCATGAAGGTTCTGCTTTTGGGGATAGAAACGAAGAAGAAGCCTCACTTTAGAATTATGCAAAAGCTTTTTAATTGGAGATTGCTGACTCTAGTTTCCCTGAAGGACTAACACTTCGTGACATTCCGGAGCATGTTGGCTAAGACTCAAATAGACTACATGCTCCTTAGGAAGGGTGATAGAGGTCTTTGTAAGGAATGCAAATCCCGAGTGAGAATCATACAACCCAGCATAAGCTCTTGGCTATGGATTTGAACCCACCACCACTCAACCAAAAAAGTTGATTCTGAACTTTGTTTGTGAAGGAACCGAACTTTGACGGCCAAACCGTTTTTATGCGCCGCTTTACCCTTAAAGGAAAATGAGTTTTGCTCCTTTGGGTGCTAGGTGCTCCTGTGGTTCGCGAGAAGGAGAAAGGATGTTGCATTTAGCACACGAGGATAAATAGAGTCTTCGTCTATGCATGAATTGCAACAAAAAATAAATAATAAAATAAAGCTGAAACAGAGGTATAATGGGGGACAGGTAAGGTCAACAAGGTTGGATAGTGTGTACGCGATGTCGGTGAGATGAAAATTGTCGAACATGATTGCAGGATGGATGATTAAGTAGTTTTCTTTAGAAAACAGAGTAGCTTCACTATCATGGGTAGATGCTGTTAATTGAAGAATGTCTTGTGCTGATGCAGTGCTACATTGCTAATTGATTCGAAGTATTGGCTTAAGGGATTTGTTTATTTATCTTCAGACGTTGATCCTGGTTACACTTGTAATATTTCATGGCATGTTGGAAATGAATTTTAAATGTATGTTTGATTGAAAAAGAAGCCCTACTATTATTTTATGACGTGGTAGAATCTGATTTTTTTGTAAGGTGGTGGGAATCTGATGCTTTGTGACATCAAGTTCATTTGAAGAGAATATGATTTTCCTCCATTATTTATCGCAGAAAATCCGGAATCCAGTCTATCTGTTCCAAGGTATCGTATTACGCAGAGGTGCGAAAGGAACTGGGATGAAATCAATAGAATTAGCACTTTCCATGTGCGACATTGTTGACATCTATGGTTTCACTGTCGATCCTGGTTACACAGAATGGTAATGTTCTATTATGCTCCTTTTCTTCATTGTTACTTCTGCTTTTACTAGACGACAAAATAAATGCACATTTAAAAAACTTGGTATCGGGTTTTCTCTTTGCAACTCTATCCAATGTTGAAATATTACCATCTTTCTGGAATATTCGACACTTCCACTTGAATTCCATCTTCTAGTTTACCTTTCTTAACTTTTGCATGCAATTTCTTACATCTAATGACCATTAAACATTATCTCTGTGTGGCTATTGGGGAACTTTGTTGTATAGGACTCGATACTTTTCCACACCAAGGAAAGGGCACAACCCACTCCAAGGAAGGGCTTATTATCAACTCTTAGAATGCCTTGGAGTAAGGACACTGGATTAATGCAGTTAAAAGTTCATTTTTCAATTTGTTCATTTTTTTGTTTGATGCTCTCACTAAGAAATCATATTTTAGGTCATACGAATCCATTCTCCTATGCGAGCAAAGAGAAAGCAAGACTGGTCTGATGTGCCTAGTCGAGAAATGATAAACAACGCTCACAGAGCTGCATTGCATTTGAAAAAGAAGCAAGCTGGGCAAGAGGGGGGATTGGGACGATTTGTTAACTGTAAAGTATGGGGCAAATCAGGTCCCTATGGCACTGGGCCTGTATCTGGTTCCACAGATATGACAGATACCAGGAAGGAGTCAAATTACAATCGATGGGAAATCATGCCTTTTGAGAGCTTGAGGGAGGAAGCACGGAAGCACTATATGCAGATGGAAGGTGTGTCTTTGTACAAGATGGATGGGAATAAGCTGGATGATCTAGTCTGCGTGAAACATCCCCTGAAATCCGAGGCATGAAACAATGGCTTGATATGATGGATCCATTTGAGTTGAACCTAATTAGTATTTTACATGCACAAATACAAGGGAATCAAGAGTCGTGTTCAACACACCAAGCAGCTTCCTCTTGGAGTGTAAACTAGTAACAACCACCAGAGTGAACTCAGATCTTCGGAAGTGCGCTGCGAAATTGTCTGATTACCTGGTGATCTGAATTACTGGAGGAACGAGGAAAGAAGGGACCAGTGTCCTTACTCTTTTCTTAATTTTGTAAGCAGAGAAATCTCATGCTCCATATTTTACCTGATTTTGTTATTAGGGTTGCTTTTATTCTTCTCACTGTGAATTTGTGGTTTTGAACTGTCCTATCCAGTATAGTCAAAAGGGAAGGGTGAAGTAGGGATTGCAGATAGTGCACGGCAAACACCATAAACCAGCAAATACTGTCCTGTATAGCACGGTTTTTTTAAAACGCTCTTCCCCTGCAACTCCAACATTCTTTTGCTTCTAACATTTATTTTCATTTTTCATTGATGAATTATGTACGTTATACATTTTGAATATGAATTATTGAGATTGTACTTTCACAAAAGCAACTTAAACTCGAATGTGCGTCATAAATTTGTGTTATAACAAACAATACATGAATTCAGAAGGAACAAATATAACCAGTAAATACTACTATGGATCAAGCAAAAACATAATAAGAGCAAACTAACTATTAATCTATGAGATAGAATTGTTGTTTCCACGGTTAAGAAGATGGTCAGAAACAACCTTGAGGAGCTTCCTCTGCTTAGATTTGGCAATCTTTTTTAGGGTTTTTGGATTGGTGATCTTCTGAACCTTGGTGCCAGACTTGAGAATGTTTTCCTGCTTCTTTTTCTCTCTTTCCTCCCTCTGCTTCCGCTTCTCCACCTTGTTGTGTCTTATCACTTCCTTGAGCTCATTGATTCTCTCCTTGTACGCCTTTTTAATCTCCTTCTCTTTCATCCTCTGCTCCAATGACTTCCCCTTCACGCTCACCTTCGCTGCCGATGATCTGTGTTTACGCGGCTGTTTCCAATTCCTTCCCGATACCCTCCCTGCAATCACCCCGTCGTATGTCGGCCTTCCCAATACAGGTTTGTTTGGATCCTCCTCAGATGGTACCGCTTGTCTCTTCCTTGGAATCTCCTCCACTTCCATGGCTTCTATACCATTACCTTGCTCTTTCTCTGCTCTCTTTCGTTTGTACGTTTTTCCTCCGAATCCTTCGTCCAGGCACCGAAAATCCACAGTACACGCCATTGTTACTTGCTTTGTTTTGTTAACTTCTTACTCTCTCCCCAGTCTCATTTATATCAAACCCTAACCTAACCTAATAAGTACTCCTTTTTGGGCCGGGCCAAATATAACCGACACATTCAGGACTAGAATTGGCAAAATAGCCACTTTCTGAACCGCTCCCTAAATATAAGGTGAAGTCTACAAGTATTTGTATATTATCTTTGCATGATTTTTTATGTTTTACAACAACTATTAGTCGCCTCGATCTAAGGTTATTGCATGCACAATCTAGTCAAGACTAGAACCAAAAAATAATTAAAACGAATGGTGGTGGATCAAGATAAATTATATTTAATTTTATGTTAATAATTATTATTGATTACTTTGTTCAATTTTCATATTATACGAACATAAACTTTCAATTTATAACAACTAATGCTTTCAGCTTTTATGTACTTTATACATTAAAATATTTAGTACTATATAAGTAAAGCACGCTTAGACTAATACATGATATATCTATATTCATTAATTAAATAACTACTCTACAGTAAATTATATATGTAAATATATGGTTAATAGTGTACAGTTCATTGTTATTATTATTATTATTTAAATAATTTTTTACCTTTTCTTTTGATTGTGATAATTATTATAGTATATCATATCTATATCTAAATGCAAAGTTAATGATATACACCCAACAACATATATCCAATAAAATTAATTGAAATGCATATTAACTAATCTCATATATACTCACTTTATTTGTTTTGTATCATGAGTTTTACAGTTTTATTTTCTTATGTTTATTAGGAAAAATTATTTTAGAAAAGCAAATATATATTAGTTACTAGCTAAATAACTATAGTTTAAATTAGTGGTTCATCTCTCTCTACTCTCTGCCTTTTCTTGCTCACGTCTCTCCTTCCTCTCCCGATCTCGCTCGCCATACATATGTATATTAATTACATATATACAATTATTTGATAAATATACATATACAATTCGACAAATATACATATATATTTTTTCTTTCTCTCTTGTTCACTCGCAGAGGCGTATCCAGAGAGGGTTCCGCGGGTTCACGTGAACTTATGCTCCCCTCTCTAGATCATATATAGTAGTGTTATATTTTTCAAAAAATATTTAAATATAAAGGTGTAAATCCACATTAAAAAGTAACATATAATAATACGATGATAATTGAGTGCACGTCTCTATGGCTACGAAGCGTAATTAAGCTATTTTGAGTGTCTACATACATACGAAAGTTTCTAGGCAAAGAAGGAGAGTAGAAAAAGAGTGTGAAGGTAAGAGCCAAGAGGGATGTGATGTGGAGAGAAGTGGCTCGTAGTAATAGTGAGACTTAAGTCATCTACGGTTCCTTAAAATTGAGTGGGTCTTAAATTATTTAGATGGGTTTTAATTATCTGGGTCGAATTATTTAATTGCAAATAAAAATAAAATAAAATTTTATTAGGCTATTAGGATCAAGACAAATGTCCATCCGTCAGTCTAAAAGGTATACATGCTCCAAAAATTAGACGATAGGGGCATTAACATTCTAAAAGTATAAAGTGAGAGATATTTAGATACCGTTTATGGAGATTGATTAGCTTGGGGGTAAACAAGATAAATTTTTTCCATCACGTTCAAAAGGGTATATTTGTCTCTCTTTTTTCTCTAGTAATAATGATATTATATAGAAGAGTGAAGTGGTAGGAAAACCAAGGGTAAAATCGTAATTTCATTCTAACAAAAATTTATTAAGAAAAATAGTAAATAATCTAGAAAGATCTTTCTATATATAAAGTGAATAATGATCAGGGTAAAAATGTAATTTCACGTGATAACAAGAAAATTAAATATTTCTAGAAATATCTTTAGTTATTATTATTACTATTAACTTATTTTGCTATTACTTCACTTTTTTTATTAGTCATTGTAATATCTATTCATTAGTTTATTATGCTTAAAAAAATACCTACTTTAATAAAAATATACATTATGAATTACTTATTTTCACCTTTATTTTGACTCTAATTAATATACTGGAAAAGAAATAAGTGTGATAAAATTAATAATATGTATTAGATTGAAATAAAAAAAAATATGGTAAGAAGTAATTTTACAAATAAAAATTAATAGGATGATATATTTACATTTAAGACGATGAAGAATTGAAATGAAATTTCATTCTAACAAAAATTTATTAATAAAAATAGCAAGAAAAATAATTAATTATAGAAACATCTTTCTATATGTGAAGTGAATGGTGATCAAATGTAAAAATATAACTTCACGCAAACAAAAATCTATCAAGAATGATAAAAAGAAAACTAAATATTTCTATAAAATTTTTTAGTTATTATTACTACCATCAACGCAGTTTGTTATTACTTTTTACTTTTTTATAAGTTACTATGTGATATCTACTCATTACTCTATTTTACTATTACTTTAATTTAATTCTTAATATTTTTTCGATTCATTATATTTACTAAAAATGCCTACTTTAATATAAAATTCATTATTTAAAAAATATAATCAATTACTTTTACTTTGGCTCTAATTAATATACCTGAAAAGAAATAAATGTGATAAATTAATAATATATATTAGATTGAAATTAAAGAATAAATAAAAATAGTTTTAATATTGAAAAATAAAATTTTAAAGATGTCAAAATAGAATGGTATATTTGTATTAAAGTAAACTAAAAATGTTTACCACATTATAAAAAGGTAGTTCTTCATTAAAATATATAATAATTTTTTCACTTTTATTTGATTTTAAATTTAAATATATTAATCTGAATAGTGAATTAATGTAAGTTTGATTTAAATTCAAAGTTGATAGGTCAAAATGTGATGTTTTTCTATTATGTAGAAATATGAAGTTGGGACGATCAACAATAATACGGTCATTTTCATATATATTTCATTTTAAAATTCTATTTTTAAATTTGTCAAAATCTTCAAGTGGCTAAAATTCCTGCATAAGTTACATGATTATTCTAGAAAGGGATAATGCCCAAGTATACCGTTAACCTATCCCCGAAATTTCAGAGACACAATTATACTATACTAAGGTCCTATTACCCTCCTGAACTTATTTTATAAATAATTTTCTACTCCTTTTAGGCCTACATGACACTATTTTGTTGGGCCAACCCTGATTGACTTTTTTTCAATCTAGTGCCACGTAGGCCAAAAAGGGGTAGAAAAGTACTTATAAAATAAGTGCAGGGGGTAATAGGACCTTAGTATGGTGTCACGACCGGAATCTAGACCCCAGACGAGACCGGCGTCGTTGACCTCTCAGAGGTCGCAGACAAGCCTGCTTACGTCATTCTTACTTTACATAGATTAATTTTAGCGGAAAATTTGAAATTTTTTATTCTTTAATCATACTTGCTGAACATTCTTAACATTTCGTAATCGTTCATCATCAACCATCTAACATTTAAGAGATAAGCAACTGAAAGAAATAATTCATTAAGTATTACTTGTATATCGGCCAAAATAGCACCAATACAAAGTTTGAACCAAAACAGGAAAGAAACGCTAGTGGAACATGCTCCGCTAGCTCAACTCTAAAACTACGCTAGAATGTAAAACGGTAGCATCCTCGAAAGCATGAGGACCTACCAAACTCCGGATGAATACTGATGTCCGGATAGCTGCAACAACGAACCTGTAGCTCTAGCGTCCACCTGTGCTTGCACCTAAAAGTAGATGTTCGTATGGAATTAGTACACACTTGTACTAAGTATGAGTATATGCAAGTACACACCAGGGACATGCATGAGGAGAGAGATAGCTCTTTCCTAACAACATGATTTTTGGAAGTCAAGTCAGTGGACTTGCCAAATTGAGATTGGGAAAGTTATGCCATGAGAGTGACATGCATCATTATAATTATCGTATAGCACACAAAACATAACATATTCATATAACACATAACATATAACACATACTTTCTTTCATATTATTCATTCGTATACCATGAGACCTTATTATCATAGACTTAACTTTAAGACTTTCCAAAATGAGGGCTCAACATATGGGACCTCAACTAGGGAGCCTTCTTTAGCAAACACAGAGTCTGCTTCACTCATTCATTCGTATTTCATTTCAATTCATTCATAGGCCAGTGCGAACACCAGGTATACCTAGGATGTAGTTTAAGACTCTCATCGGGTTTGCTGTGCAATGATCAGGAATGACCTAATGTCATTACCTGAATCTAGCTCACCTCTTGATTATCCTATCCTAACACCTTCGGTATCATTCATTTCTTTATATGATTCGTTTGAGGCTGGCCTCATTCATTCATTGGGAACTTTAACTTTAACCGACATAGATCATGTGAGCATCATGAAATCCAGTGTCTTCCCCACACCGAAAAGAGGTGGAAACACCGGCCAAAGCGATTCAATAACATGCTAGCGTATATGGGAATTTAACCCCGCCAGATCCCTATAGTGGCAATATAGGTTCAAAGACTAGGAGATGTATGGAGACCCATACCCGGCAAGCCGGACAGTCTCATCTCATGAGAATTACGTGAACCTCCGCCCTTCCCGAAAGAAGGCATCACCACTCATAGCTAGCCTATCGGTGCTCGGTATAAAGTTCCCTTACATGCAACTCATACATCATAGAAGTTTGCTTCTAGTATGAAGACATCATAGCTCAATAGATGATTTCTCATCTCATCATTAGTATTAAGTGTTTTAAACTCAATATTTTTATTAGAGTATTCATAGAGACTGGTCTCTTCATTATCTTACACTCTCATTGGTGAGTATGTATCGGTAACATTTACTTAAGCTCATTTAAGATTGCTCTCATCATATGCATTAACCTCACATCATGATTGTCGCCACATTCTTCATTTCATTACGTATATCTTAGGTTCACTTATTCTTGAACGTATGTTAAACTTATATATCTATACATACAAGCCATGAGGCTTCATTTATAGTTCGTTAAGTGAATTCTTGTTTTTCTAAGATTATGTATTACAAGACTTATGTATCTTGTATATATGCCAAGA